CAGTTTTGGAAATAGCAGTATTCCCTTTAAACGTGACCAATTGAGAAAAACATTTCTGAATGAGTACAGGACAAACACTAACTCCATCAGCATGCATTATACAGATGATGGAAAGCTAATAATTGAAAAAAAATATCAACACCACATAAGAGGCTTTACCGAGAGAAATTTCCATCACCTATCCTTCTGAAATGAAATCATGCCCTCTAACACATACGAACCCCACCAAAATAAGAGGATTGAACCCAGAAACGTTGGATGAGTTACCAGTTCCAGTTCTATTAGTGGCACCCTTCAAAATAGTTATCGGAAGAAAAATTGGAGATACATTGTAGCTCATGTAGGGATGTCAACCTATAGGAAAGGAAGGCGGGAATGTGGCTCCGACGAATTTCGTTAAATATTTAGACGATATCTTCTAAATCTGATGTATATCAGTAACATAGATTCATATTTGTCAATGTTTTATTTGTTTCAGTTTTCTTTTATTGTCGGGTCTTACTTTTTCAGAAAATGTCTCCAACTATACAAATACTGGACAGAGGTTAAAATCAACCGACAGACAAATTATGACCATGGAAATCGGAAATCATATGTCAAATACGTAAAAAAAAGGCAAAATAGAAAACACGATAATCTAGAGAATGACATGCTGCAGTGTAGATGTTGGGGGAATATCACTCGACTGGAAGGTAAACTATACGTTTACATTTTTTTTATTAATAAAAATTCGCACTCTTTTTCATAATATGATTGATAAAATTTGTATAGGTTTTTTTTTATTTTTGTTTGCTAAGAGTCTAATACTAATAAATGATATGAGAATGATGACTCTGATCTTTTAATTTGCATTTTTAATAGTCAAGACTTGCATTTACCTTATATCATGAGACAAATAAAGTATGTTTATGTTTCACCACATTCAGAATATATTAGAATAGCACTTCATGTGGTGCAGGGTCCGCTTAATCATCCTAAGTACCTACATGTAAAGATCATACCCGGTTTATTATGCGGTTAGTGTTTTCTATGTCTATGAATTGTTTTCAGTGTTGTTTGCCTTATCATCGTTTTGTTGGTTATATCTGTCATGGTGTTATAGGTTTTTCTTCGACTTATATATATATATACACTACAAACCAGTAAAAGTCTGAAATGGCCTATATTTGTACTCGACTGTACTGATTTTTACTCGACCAGTCTGAATTGGTCTGAAATTTACTTGATAATACTCGACTGTAGTCTGAACCATACTTAACAGTCTGAACTTGTACTCGACCTTTACTCGACCAGTACTTAACCATTTTATTTTCGTCTGAACCATGCTTGACCTAGTCTGAACCATGCTCGACCTAGTCTGAACCATACTCGACCTAGTCTGAACCATGCTCGACCTAGTCTGAACCATACTCGACCTAGTCTGAACCATACTCGACTAAGTCTTAACCAACCTAGACCTAATTTTTGTATCTATCTATTGTATTTCATCAATTTAGGAACTGTTTTAACAGCTATTTCCCCTGGCTAGAAATTTGAACAACAATTTGAAATTTAAAATGTATTCAATATGACATTGAAACCAAAATTTCACAATAAACATAATATAAATTCAACACCATATTTATCAACACTTACATATATATATCACCTTTAAAATTAAAATAAAACAAGCTGATCAAATAATCTCAAAACTGAATTGTGACTAATATTTTCAATGTTATTCAAATTTTTTTTTGAATGTTTCAGATATATTTTATGGTTACTGGACAATTTTCACCATTTACTTAAGCCTTGTATAGATTTATGGTGTCAGTTGAGTTTAGTTAATAATGCAGTGAACATTTTTTTAATTAAAATATTTAAAATAGTATATAAAGCAACCTAATAAATTAAAAAAATTCGTAAGGGTTCCGCGGAACCCAGTGTCTCGCCTACTTTTGCTGTTAATCAAAGGCTCAACAAAATGAGGAAAAAAATCAATAAAAATATTCCTTTAGATAAGTACTGTCTTTTGATTGTAAGAAGCTTCTGTCAAAGTTTGGTATAAAATCCAGGATAGTTTATGAATCTAATAAATGTTTTAAAAACTTTAACTGCAGACTGTATTTAATGTTAACTGGAAGAAAAACTAAGTCCATCTATAAGTAAAATACGGATAAACAGGTACAAAATTTTAACAAAATTTTCTTCTAGATACTAGCTTTTGATCATAAACAAGCTTCTGTCCAAGTTTGGTACAAATACAGGATAGTTTAAGAAAGTTATTAAAATTTTAAAAACTTTAACCACAGAGTGAATGTATTGTTTCCTGGCAGAAAAATTAAGTCCATTTATAAGTAAAATACGGAAAAAATGAAAGTTTTTTTTTAACAAATTTACTTCTGGATACTATCTTATGATCATAAACAAGCTTCTGTCCAAGTTTGGTACAAATCCAGGATAGTTTGAGAAAGTTATTAAAATTTTAAAAACTTTAACCACAAAGTGAATGTAATGTTTCCCGGCAGAAAAACTAAGTCCATTTACAAGTAAAATACGGGAAAGCAGGAATTTTTTTTTCAACATTTACTTCTGGATACTATCTTATGATCATAAACAAGCTTCTGTCCAAGTTTGGTAGAAATCCAGGATAGTTTAAGAAAGTTATTAAAATTTTAAAAACTTTAACCACAGAGTGAATGTATTGTTTCCTGGCAGAAAAATTAAGTCCATTTATAAGTAAAATACGGAAAAAATGAAAGTTTTTTTTTAACAAATTTACTTCTGGATACTATATTATGATCATAAACAAGCTTCTGTCCCAGTTTGGTACAAATCCAGGATAGTTTGAGAAAGTTATTAAAATTTTAAAAACTTTAACCACAGAGTGAATGTAATGTTTCCCGGCAGAAAAACTAAGTCCATTTACAAGTAAAATACGGAAAAACAGGATTTTTTTTTCAAAATTTTCTTCTGGATACTATCTTATGATCATACACAAGCTTCTGTCCAAGTTTGGTACAAATCCAGGATAGTTTGAGAAAGTTATTAAAATTTTAAAAACTTTAACCACAAAGTGAATGTAATGTTTCCCGGCAGGAAAACTAAGTCCATTTACAAGTAAAATACGGAAAAGCAGGATTTTTTTTTTCAAAATTTACTTCTGGATACTATCTTATGATCGTAAACAAGCTTCTGTCCAAGTTTGGTAGAGATCCAGGATAGTTTAAGAAAGTTATTAAAATTTTAAAAACTTTAACCACAGAGTGAATGTAATGTTTCCCGGCAGAAAAACTAAGTCCATTTACAAGTAAAATACGGAAAAACAGGATTTTTTTTTCCAAAATTTACTTCTGGATACTATCTTATGATCATAAACAAGCTTCTGTCCAAGTTTGGTAGAAATCCAGGATAGTTTAAGAAAGTTATTAGAATTTCAAAAACTTTAACCACAGAGTGAATATTTGTGGACGCCGCCGACGACGAAATATAGGATCGCTATGTCTCGCTTTTTCGACTAAAGTCGAAGGCTCGACAAAAAATCACACCTTTGTTTTGTAAAACCAAGAATTTAATATAATCATGATAATAGAACTTCCATAGCAATCCTTGATAATCATTTAAAAAAGGAAATGTGTTCCAAAGTTGCAGAAAAAATTTATTTCAATTAAATTTAAATAACTTTTGTCAAAATTAAAGACATGGCATACAAAAAGCACTTTAATAAGGTTTAATTACCTCAGTACATGTGTATTTTACAGGTAAAAAGAAAGCCCTTTTTTTCTTAAACTCGTGTATTATACTTATCTAGTGAATTCAAAAGACCTTGTGATTTAAGTTTTACAGGATGTTGCAATTTTTAATGAATGTTAATTAGCAATTAATACTCTCTGACCAGGTGTGATCTTTTTAATGAGTTTGCCCCAAGCATGAGGTATTACTTTATACTTTACCACTAATCAGAAGAAAGGTTTATCTATTTCTTTAATTTTTTTTATCCCTTTTTGAAATATATTATATATAATATATCCCAAATTATAATAAGAATAGATATATTTCTAATATAAGGTTAAACAATTTCAGTGATTTTTTGACTGTTGTTACCTCATTAAAAAGATAATTATATAACTATTGTATGTAACCATGAAACCTATATAGTTTTTCTTTAGGAATTTAGGAAAATTAAAATTAAAAAAAAAAAAAAAAAAAACACATGCCAAACAAGAAGCACCTTAATAAGGTTTTATTACCCTCAGTAAAGGTGTGGTTTTTAGTTAAAAGAAAATCTTTTTTTTTAACAAAACTCTAAAACTTTAAAATGAATATAATTAAATTATTACATAAGATAAGATAAGATAATTTAACTATCTCTATTTGATAAATTTGAGAATCATGTAAGGATGTAAAAATATGTTTTTATATATATCTTTATTTTATTGTGGCTGTTGTCATGTAAGACAAAAAAATTTAACAGCTAAAATTAAAAAAAAAGTATAGGTTTTTTGGTCAAGTATGGTTCAGACTGGTCGAGTATTGTTCAGACCTTTGGTCGAGTATGGTTTAGACTGAAAAAATTGGTCGAGTACAGGTCAAGAATGGGTTAAGACTGTTTCAGACTGGTCGAGTAATAGTTCAGACTATTTTCAATGGCAAAGATAAGGGTCAAGTACAAATCAGTACGGTCGAGTATGGTTAAAACTGGGTCGAGTAATGTCGAGTAAAATTCAGACCAATTCAGACTGGTCGAGTAAAAACCAGTACAGTCGAGTACAGATATAGGCCATTTCAGACCTTTACTGGTTTGTAGTGATATTTTAACAAACATCATAAAAACTGTAAAGGCCACAGTTTTCGTTGAGGTTAAGATGTTGCTCATTTCGAGGATACAGAATTTGATATAAATCAATGAAAGTTAGTTACCAAGAAACAATCGGTATGAAGACGATAAATTCTTTGATTGTTTGATCAATTACGTTGATTAAATATTCGCGGCAAATCGATATTATCAACTATTAACTTACATCTATCAGCATTGCTGAAACATGTCATCACCATAAGGATTCGACACAGCGTGTTTAACAGGTAAATGACCACCATATCGCTGCCTAAAACATAAGAAACTTAAATTGAAGAAAAACTGGTTTTTTTTTATTGAGAATTTACGCGATTACGTGTTTCAGTCAGAAATAAGAACCATCCAGTAATGAAGTAAGTGTAGTACCTCGGGGTAGGGTCGGTGGTGTTCCACTGGCAGAGGAGACAGATCCGGAAGACAGACCTAGATATAAGAAGATGTGGTATGAGTGCCAATGAGACAACTCTCCATCCAAGTCAAAATTTATAAAAGTAAACCATTATAGGTCACAGTACGGTCTTCAACACGGAGCCTTGGCTCACACCGAACAGTAAGCTATAAAGGGCCCCAAAAAATTACTAGTGTAAAACCATTCAAACGGGAAAACCAACGGTCTAATCTATACTAGTATAAAAAACGAGAAACGAGAAAAACACTTATGAACCACATCAACAAACGACAACTACTGAACATCAGATTCCTGACTTAGGACAGGTGCAAACAAATGCAGCGGGTTTAAACGTTTTAATGGTACCAAACCTTCACCCTTTTTCTGAAACAATAGTGTAACATCACAACATAGAAAGACACACTATAAAATATCAACTGAAATAGCTTAACTCAATCAAAGGAAATATTAACACCATTGAACATACACTGAACAAATAAATTTGACCTATGACACAATGTAAATACAAAATAAATAAACTAAGGGAAGAATAATAAAAGTAACATGTTATATCGGTCTGTTGATTTACTTTTGACTTTAATTATTTATCCCTTGTATTTTTTTATTAACTGTGTATTTGCATTCAGGTGTCACAGGTCAAATTTATTCGTTCATTGTGTGTTAATTTACGTTTTTTGATTGAGTTAAGCCTTCCAATTGATATTTTATAGTGTGTTTTTCTATGTTATGATGTTATACTATTGTTTCAGAAAAGGGAGAAAGTTTTGTACCATTAAAACGTTTAATTCCGCTGCAAATGGTTGCACCTGTCCTAAGTCAGGAATCTGATTACAGTAGTTGTCTTCTGTTTATGTAGTTCATACGTGTTTCTCGTTTCTCGTTTTTATATAGATTAGACCGTTGGTTTTTCCGTTTGAATGGTTTTACACTGGTAATTTTTTTGGGATTGCCACATCTTCCTATATCTAGACAGCCTCGTTCCGGATCTGTCATTCGAAAAAGCCTAGAAAACCAGAACAGTCGTCTTCGTCAAGCCGACGAAGATTTTGTATCATACAGAAGTACAAGTTATCGTCACGGTAAGTGTAAACAGCTTACATTGGCGCTGCGAGCATTTTTCGTACTAATTCACTCGGGGAGTTGAATTCTTAAGCGAAGAATACTTAAAACTAGAGGCTCTAAAGAGCCTGTGTCGCTCACCTTGGTATATGTGCACACAGATGGATTCATGACAAAATTGTGTTTTGGTGATGGTGATGTGTTTGTAGATCTTACTTTACTGAACATTCTTGCTGCTTACAATTATCTCTATCTATAATGAACTTGGCCCAGTAGTTACAGTGGAAAATATTTTGTAAAAATTTACAAAAATTTACAAAATTTATGAAAATTGTAAAAAATTGACTATAAAGGGCAATAACTCCTTAAGGGGTCAATTGACAATTTTGGTCATGTTGACTTATTTGTAGATCTTACTTTGCTGTACATTATTGCTGTTTACAGTTTATCTCTATCTATAATAATATTCAAGATAATAACCAAAAGCTGCAAAATTTTCTTAAAATTACCAATTCAGGAGCAGCAACCCAACAACGTGGTGCCTGATTGGTCTGAAAATTTCAGGGCAGATAGATCTTGACCTAATGAACAATTTTATCCTGTCAGATTTGCTCTAAATGCTTTGGTTTCAGAGATATGAGCCAAAAACTGCATTTTACCCTATGTACTATTTTTTAGCCATGTCGGCCATCTTGGTTCGCGGGCGGGGTCATCGGACACATTTTTTAAACTAGATACCATAATGACGATTGCGGACAAGTTTGGTTAAATTAGTCTTGGTAGCTTCAGAGGAGAAGATTTTTGTGAAAGATTACAAAAATTTACCAAAAAAATGTTAAAAATTGACTATAAAGGGCAATTACTCATTAAGAGGTCAACTGACCATTTTGGTCATGTTGACTTATTTGTAGATCTTACTTTGCTGAACATTATGATGTTTACAGTTTATCTCTATCTATAATAATATTCAAAATAATAACCAAAAACTGCAAAATTTTCTTAAAATTACCAATTTAGTGACAGCAACCCAACAACAGGTTCTCCGATTCATCTGAAAATTTCAGGGCAAATAGATCTTGACCTGATAAACAATTTTACCCCATGTCAGATTTGCTCTAAATGCTTTGGTTTCAGAGATATAAGCCAAAATCTACATTTTACCCCTATGATCTATTTTAGCCATTGCGGCCATCTTGGTTGGTTGACCGGATCACCGGACACATTTTTTAAACTAGATACCCCAATGATGATTGTGACCAAGTTTGGTTAAATTTGACCCAGTAGTTTCAGAGGAGAAGATTTTTGTAAAAGTTAACAGACGACGCCGGACGACGACGACGACGACGACGACGGACGACGGACGCGAAGTGATGAGAAAAGCTCACTTGGCCCTTCGGGCCAGGTGAGCTAAAAAGGGGCCCAAACAGCACCTCCATTTTGTTTTTAGGAGATCCCTGACAGGTCACCTATTTCTAGTTTTTGGCTACCCACGGCTTCGCTGGGCTAGTCAATGAGGGAGGGAAAGTCAAAGCATAGGGAAGGGAAAACTTTTGTGGCTAAGTTTCAGTCACGGATTTGTTAATTTTAGGGACTTTTTCACACTTGACCGTCTGCGGAGCCCTTGCAGGGTATTGTGTGAACCCGATATTTGTTCTGTAAAACCCTTGTAGGGAATTGTGTAACCCCTGAATCCAATTTGGTTTTCCGTTTGAATGGTTTTACACTGGTAATTTTTTAGGGCCCTTTATAGCTTGCTGTTCGGTGTTAGCCAATGCTCCGTGTTGAAGGCCGTACCTTGACCTATAATGGTTTACTTTTATAAATTGTAACTTGGATGGAGAGTTATCTCATTGGCACTCATACTACATCTTCCTATATCTAGACAGCCTCGTTCCGGATCTGTCATTCGAAAAAGCCTAGAAAACCAGAACAGTCGTCTTCGTCAAGCCGACGAAGATTTTGTATCATACAGAAGTACAAGTAATCGTCACGGAAAGTGTAAACAGCTTACATTGGCGCTGCGAGCATTTTTCGTACTAATTCACTCGGGGAGTTGAATTCTTAAGCGAAGAATACTTAAAAAAAGGGGCCCAAACAGCACCTCCATTTTGTTTTTAGGAGATTCCTGACAGGTCACCTATTTCTAGTTTTTGGCTACCCACGGCTTCGCTGGGCTAGTCAATGAGGGAGGGAAAGTCAAAGCATAGGGAAGGGAAAACTTTTGTGGCTAAGTTTTAGTCACGGATTTGTTAATTTTAGGGACTTTTTCACACTTGACCGTCTGCGGAGCCCTTGCAGGGTATTGTGTGAACCCCATATTTGTTCTGTAAAACCCTTGTAGGGAATTGTGTAACCCCTGAATCCAATTCAGCCGCGCATTCACTAGTAACCCGAATTTGGCTTGAACGGCCAAAAAGGTATTAACGACATTTAAAAAAGATTTAATATCATTAGATAACGATTGACAAAAATTAAAAATTGTTTTTAATTCATTTCAATCCATATCAAATTATTTTAATACCAGCCAAATAGATTCCCTTGCGGTCATTCAAGTTAGTTTCAGATGTGGTTAAGCTGTGTCAAACTAATTAGCCACGCCCCCGTTAAACCAAATCAAACTGATGTTAAATCCTTTTATACTTTAAAGTGACCGCCGTTTTGTAAGGTAAATCACTCAAGCAGAACAGCATCCCCGTTATCTATCGTTTAGGTGTAATACCACCAAATCATAGTACGTCACATCCGGTTGCATACGAAAATAGGTCGAAAAAAAATATTCCCTTGAATTTGACAGTTGTAGGTAATTGATCCTACATTTCATTGCAGTAAAACATTTCTGGGTCATAAACATATACCTTGGGTATTTCAAAGCACCATTATTTTTTTATTTGGGGTTTCTATAGAATATTTTGGAAACTTGAGGTTACATGGTTACTAAAGCTTGTACACAGGTTAAAAAAGGGGGAAAATTTGATTGGTTAACTTCCAGTGATGGTTATTTTCTTATATGCAATGAAATGTTATGTGAAATTTTTTCTATAGTACTGGACAGGATCAAACTTTACTCATGCCAAGTATTTCTTTATTTGAAACAAAGATAAATTCTGCACAATTTTTTGAAAAGTGCAAATTTAACAAAGACTAATAGGGGAAAATCAATGGTGGTATTACACCTAATATGTCCCTCTCTGGAACGCGGCGTAAATTTAAGTTTTACGTAAGGACTTATGGAAACCTCCTTGGAGACAGTAAACTTGTATACGGATAGTTCATTCAGCTTGAATACTTCAATTAATCATTTATTATAACATTTCTATCATAAATGAGTGAAAGTTACCCCAAAATTTTTATTTATTGGCCTATAAAGTACAAATTTTGAGGAAATGAGAGGTATAAATGGACCAAAAGAGACCTTATAAGGAAGACAAAGAGGTCCATTAGTAGTATTTATCATCCTAAAGTCATCTTTTGTATCATATTCAACTGTTTGTAGGCAGATGAGATAAATATTTGATCATTTATTGGTCCACACTATATTCTATGATGATGCGGCTTGGTTTGGATTTTTCGAAGAAATTTAGCTCGAATCGCTGTAGATGTCGTCTTACATTATACTAGATTTTTCTCAAACTATTGAACTGATTATGACAAAACTTGACAGGAATGCTTGAAATAACCAGTATTACAAAGGAAAAAAGTCACATTCAGTTTATTTAACAAAAAAGTCTTCTTTATGGGAAGCTGTACATGCACCTTTGACCTTGTGAGTACTCTCATGTGTT